ACGATTTCGGCAGTTTGGAGGGCATGAACAGGCAGAACCACACTCATGTACCAAGGTTTTGTAACTCATGAGAACTCCAAGTGGATTAAAGGGCAAATAGCCTCCATTCTTCTGAATGCAAGGACAACTGGTTCCACCAGGTTGGCATCCACCAAGACATTGACAGCCCACAGATGGATTAGACTTCATGAAAGGTTTTGAGTACTTCAGACTTGGGATATATGTGAAATAAGCAGGTCCCTTCTCATCATCAACATCATTTACAAGACATACAGGTTGGCTCTCTGCACCAGATGTTAGGTCGGGTAGGATAACTCCAACCCGTGTCGCCGTTCCTTCTCTCCACTGCTGTACTGATTTCCACAATGTAAATGCTTCAGGCTGCCCAGGTACCCTAATCAATTTGTACCTGAAAATACTGCAATTGCCCAATTTGCTTTTCTCTGCCCATGACTCCTGGACCCTATAAAGTCCATCATACATGTAGATCTTCCCCCTCCCCCCATTTTGAACATCTAAAACACCCCTAATTACTCTCACCTCATTGCCACGATGCATGCTCTTTTCCAGAGCAAGATTTCCCCTCTCAAGTTTCTGATCGAACATTTGGCCATCCCTCCTCTGAACTCCACCCTGGCCAGTATAAATTAGCACATCCCCATCATCCCCTTCATCATCATACCCTCCAGAGGACACTATGCTAACAGCAATAGGTTCCTCATCCCCTGTAAGTCTGACACTCATATAATCTATCCCTGCCATACTGGGTGCGTGCAAACCAACCAGGCACAATTCCATCCTGAAGAAGAAGATGTCACCAACTTCAACCCCGGGTACATTTCCAATCCTCTTTGTTTGATTTGTTCGAGCTCCCCTTGTCATCAGCAAATTAGCACCCTTCAGATCTGGCCTTCTTGCAGAACCTGGAGTCTCACCCCTTCTCTCTTCAATCTGGGTCATCCTTCTGCGAAACAAATCATAAACCAGTAGTATTCTCCCAGCTAGCTCCTTGTCACCATCAGCTTTCTTGACCTGATCGATCTCAACAAGTTTGAAGGATGCAAGCAGCTGGTTTAATAGTGGATCGATATCCACTTCGATTGGGGGAGTAGCTGGATTACCTGAGCCTGAGCCTGAGCCTGACTGACTTAACCTAGTCTTTCTCGGTCTTCCTCTTTTTTTCCCTGTACTTGTGTCTTCAACATCATTAGCATGCACACTATAGCCACTACCGAATTGATCACTGTGATTCTGTGAATCATCATCTTCTGCAGCTAAGCCATTCGAAGCACGAGGTCTACCAGGCCTCCTTGGTCCCGTGTCTCCATTTGCAGTTGGAGTTCTGAATGAATTTAAAGGAACGGGAGATATAGGCGTCCCAAAACCTAAACCATCCTGATTTTCAGCTGATCTACCAGACTCATTGGGGGACAGAAATGGATAAAACGGAGAAACCCCAGGCGGGAAAGGACCACTTGGAGGAACACACACAAAAGGTGATGGTTGAGGAGTTGTACCAGATGCCATTCCATTTGGGGATGGAAATACAGGGACAAGACATCTCAAAGGCTTCACATCCAAAACCTTAGACTTGTCAATGGGTCCTGCTGGCGGAACAGAGTCTGTACCAAAGCCTTGCTCCATTTCAATCGAAAACCAACAACCACAACAACAAGATCACCACTTCCACTCACATGAATAACCCAAATTCAAAGCTCAGCACTTCTCCCAATCAACACTTAGATCCATGCACAATCTCCAATTTCCTAAAGCAAATAAGAAGTCAGAACCACCAAAAAAACATTTCTAGGACAACATGCACCGATAAAAAGCTAATAACCTCACCTAAACCTCCAAAGATGCAAACTTTTTACTCAAAAATAGCTTCCCACAGAAAATTGACTGAAAAAACACAATAAAAATTCAAACCTTCATAAAAATGAACAGGAACAAGCCCTAATTTGAGTTAACCCTAGAAACCCAGTTCAAATCCATCAAGATTTATACCAAAAAACACATGCAAACCACAAAATAAGCTAACCCAACTCAAATCTTTCAAGAAAAGCCCTTTATAAACTCAGATTTGGCACAATGACAATAGAGACAAAAAAAAAATCACAAAAAAGAAATGAAAACTTCCCAAAGCAAATGAAATCTCAAATTGATCGAAAATTAAAGCTTTACAGGTAAAAAGAAAGGATCTTTAGAAGGAAAATTACCTGAGAAATTGAGAAAAACGATCTAGAAGGAAGATAGAGTCGAGCGAGCAGCTTTTGAAGAAAAATTTGTGTTGTGAAGTGTGAAGTGGACAGTTTTGGCATAGTTAAATAGTACACTGCATTAGATTTTTGAATAAAGAAGATTAGCACAACATCTTTGTCACGTGCCGGCAAACCCATTTATTTTTTCATGTGTTTTTTCTTATTTTTTTTCCTCAAAATAATTGCATTAAATGTTTTATGACTTCCCTTTAATGATGATTTTGGTCTTGTTGAAAATATTCTCTTTCGTTCACTTTTGTTTGTCACACTTTAATTTAGCACACTCATTAAAAAAATAATTATTAATATTATTAGTTGGATGATGCACGAGTAAATTGCATAAAAGAATTATTGATTCATTCGATATATAAAAAAAAAAAATCATTTAAGAATTGAAAACTCATTAATTATAGAATTCTAATTTTTTAATTTGATAACTAGATACATCTATTTTGAACATGCCTAGTCTAAAGTAGCTTAGTGCCTGTTTGATCATGTTTTACTTTTTGCCGAAATATTATTTTGAAAAACAGTTTGAGCATAGATTATTATAATTTCCGAGAAATAGAAAAATTTCATAAAGTTGTTTTTAAAATTACTCCAAATCAATTATAGTATTAAAATTCAAAAACAATTTTAATTTATATTTATATCCAAACACAATTCTGATTTTTAAATATTATTTTTAATTACTTTTATAAAAAATATATTTTTAAATTTTTTCACCATTCTTATGTTCAAGCTCACTTAATTTGGAGTAGCTAGCTCTCTTGTTCCCTAATTGTAAATGTTTTGTAGATTTCATATTATTTTTTTAAAAATATAATCTTTAAAGATAAGAATTTGGATTTGGTCTAAACTCAAACACTTGCCATCTATTATAGTTCTCAACATAACAAAATGTTCTCTCTTTTTTTAATTATTCAATCTTACTTCTGCACTTTACCTTCAATTAAAATGATTTGCCTCTAAGATTCTTATAATCTCAAAACAAACATAATCTCCCTATGGTCCCACTTTTTCATATTTATCTTCCTTTTTCCCATGCAATAATTAAGTGGAGTGGTACTTATTTTACTCCATGACATTGCAATGTTAGTATTTTCCTTCATTTAATCACTTAAGTTTGTTATGATTTAATTTTTCTTAATCTAGTAATTTAAATTTGTTGATCTAAGTAAAACTAAATGAGTGCAAAAGATTCAAATAATAACATATTGACCAATTTGATACTCAACTATATTTATAACCAATCTCAATTTATTTGAAATTAATATGTAATGGTGATTTTTTTTTTTAAAAAAAAGGTACATATAAGGCTTAGATAAACTTGTTTGGTTGGAAAAAAAGACAAGTTTGCTTCAAGTTTAGTAGCCTAGTTAATTATTTTAGCAAATTTAAGTTACACACGTCTATAACAAATTTGTACATCATAAATCTAATTTAATCAGATATAACAAATTATTAATTTATTTTTTTCTTCTAAATTATCATATACTATATAGTATTCATCAATTTGATAAGATATATTTGTCCATTTCAATTTATTTACATTTTGTTACATTCTACGTAGACAGGATTCAAAAGTTTTATTTACTTTTTAGAACTACATGTCAAATAAAAATCAGAAAAATAAATTAAAACAGAAATCCGATGATCCACACATAAGAGACAATTAACTTGAAGGTATTAGGCCCTGAAAATATTTGCCACTCAAAAGTTGCTAACGTGAAAGCAAAAAATAATTTCAAGAATTGAATAGTTTCTTATTCCTTCACCCCTTGTCCATACTAACAAGTTACTTCCTTTAACCAAAAATTGTCTATATATATATAGACATGCTTTGAAATCTTGAAATAGGCATGCACAAGAGTGATATTACTCTATAATAATTAAGGCTATAACTCATCCCTCATTCTTCAGGTGAAACAACAAGTCAACTAGAAAGAAATCAAGTTTGCACCTTTTTGTGTTTATTCATTGTTTTCTTGCAATTAAGTATCAACTATGAACTTCTGATTTCTCTTCTGTTTCTGTTTTTCCATATATATTTTTTTAGTATTTGTTGCTTTTGATATGTTCTTTCACTCAGAAAGACATCTATTTAGTTGTTTTTATCAAATTGTGGCTAGCTAGTCAAATTCTTGTTCTTTTCTGTGCTCACTTATGATTGTTGAGATCTTGAAAAGAAAGTAGCCAGGGAGAGTTAGTTAAACTAGTTAGTATGTCCAATACAACTCTACGTAGAATTTGATCAATCCTATTTTTTGTCGTTAAGATGGAGAACTGAGTCAAGAATTCTCTTTCTTTATATGTTTGCCACCCATGATTTAAGTTGGATACTGAGATATTATATCTCCTAATGAATCCAGAACACTAGAGTGCCCTAGGGATTCATGGATTTATGATTTAGTCTGTCCAAGATTGACCAGTAACTTGTATACTATGGAAATTCTCCGTTACACGTCTGTCCACATCTTTATTTATGTTTTTTTCCCCCAATTTTATTCTTTGATTTCCACTAATACTGTTCATAACAAGCAGAGAAGTTTGACAGACTGATATTGTTATTTGCTTGAACAATCATCTTAGTGGTACTATCTCTTGATGACATTATGTTGTTGCAAAAGTTAGCAACTTTGTTGCTTTTCCTCTTTTGATTGACTAAAATCTTATGTATTAGCATCTTTGTTAAAGCTTAAAATAGGTTCGGGGAACATTGAACGGTGTGTGATGGATATGGATTCAAGCCGCTCCCTTTGTTGCATTCTCCTTTTAGTTCTGTTGGGGATATCCATCCAATACCAATGTTTTGCAAGCGAGATTGATGCAGACCAGACAGCACTACTGTTAGTAAATGCATCAGAAGCATCAGCAAGGAAAATGCCGGATACTCTATTTGGAATATTCTTTGAGGTGAGTTAAGTCATTTAGGTGTTCCAATTCTAGTGAAAATGAGAAGCTTTCACCTCATATTTTCTGTACATAACTGTTTCGATGATTTAGGTGTCTTCCTGTCTTTTTCTTTACTTTATTATGCAGACGTCTTCGTCACCAACTGACTGTTGGTGCATAAATGATATGTAGAATAATAACATTCCATTTAAGCAAATTGTATCTTGGTAAAAAAAGTTATTTTGTGCATTGCGTCGAGCTATTCCCATAGATATGGGATTGGACATTTGATAAGTGCTTTTAATACCTAATCTTGTGACAGCATTCATGTTTCTCCAAATAAATTGGGATGCATTTCCCCTTGATAATTAGATACTGTCAATTGAATAATTTGTAACATCTTGCCTCTGGTACTTTGTTTCAGGAGATAAATCATGCTGGCGCTGGAGGACTGTGGGCTGAACTTGTCTGCAACAGAGGTGATTTGGTTAATTTAGAAAAGGAAAAACCTGTAAAGATTGGAGATAATGCTTACTAGCTGGTCGAAAATGTGAAGACAATGGCATTACTGTTGGCCAAATAGAAACTCAGAGACATTATATGATTTTATCCTCTCTTCAATTGTCAGAATTACTATTTCTTTGAAATATATTCGCGCGCATGAAACAATAAGTTGGAAAGTTTTTTATGTTCTAGAATGAATGCTTCAACAGTTATGCTTTTCGATTGATAACAAGACTTTGGTGAGCACTCTTGGATTTGATTTTAATCGTAGTATTCTTGAAAAAACACTTTCAGGTTTTGAATCTGGAGGCTCATTCACGCCACCTCGCATTGAACCTTGGTCTATCATTGGGAATAATTCTTCTGTGATCGTATCAACGGATCTCTCCTCATGCTTTGATCGGAATAAAGTTGCATTGCAGGTAGAGGTTCTTTGTGACAATGGAGGTGCCAATATATGTCCAGATGGAGGAGTTGGTGTCTACAATCCAGGATTCTGGGGCATGGTATCTTACAGACTTTTTGAGAATCTAACTATCATTAGGCTCTAGTAATTCTATGTTTATAAACTCATGAATTTCTTGTGTCCTTATTACTTGCCCCTATTTTATGCTTTCCTGCAGAATATTGAACATGGAAAGAGTTATAAATTGGTGTTTTATGTGCGTTCAGACGAACCAATTAATCTATCAGTAGCTTTAACCAGTTCAAATGGACTAAACAAGCTGGCTACAAAAACCGTAGTGTAAGTTTCATATGCAATATATGTAGTTGTCTATGTTTTCCATTTTTTCTCACCAATGTTTATACGAAGTTTGCATCTTACTTACAGGTTATTTTTATTGTTCTTGCAGAGCTGATAATGTATCGAATTGGACAAAAGTTTTTGTTTTGTTGGAAGCTGAAGGAACAGATTCTAATTCAAGACTGGAACTGAGATCAACTACAAAGGGTGTTATATGGTTTGATCAAGTATCATTGATGCCCTTGGACACGTACAACGTATGCATGTTTTGAACTTCTTAGTGAAAAGAAGTAGTTGTCAACTTAAACTAAACAAATTTACAAATTATTGCAATTATTAGTTAACCTTGTTGTTGGCTATATATATCATTACTTAATTGTTTCTTCTATGTCAATGAACATGATGTGTTCAGTTATTTTCTTTCTTGTACTTTTTTTTCACTTTTGGATGAGCACTCTGTAGATGTATTTGTGTCATAATGTTTAATTTCTTGGTGCAGGGGGATGGCTTCCGGAAAGACCTTTTTGGAATGCTTAAAGATTTGAAACCAGCATTCATCAGATTTCCAGGTATTCCTGAAATTCAACCTGTCTATGTCATGTAACATTATCAGTTGATGGAGCAATGCATTATATTTATAATAGAATCGGACTTAATATCTTATACCGGCAAAAAAGTTTAGTTTTTCCCATTCATAAAATTATTCTGCAGATGAATCAAAGCTGATGCAAGCCTGAAAGAGCATCTGCCATAATATAGCAAGCTCTCACTAAAATGGATTTGCAAATAGGAAATGTCAGTGATTAATGTCAACTTTCCACAAGTCCTCGAGTAGACTTAATTCATTTGCTGGAAACTAAGAACTGTCATTATTGAAGGTTATGATCTTATATAAATTCATAAATGAGTTCACATATGGGGACAAACTGTTAGATAGAGGATTAGCTTCTGAAGTCGTTCAGAGTTTATATCATATTTCTGGTTCAACTTCTATCTAATGTGGTATCGCAAGTAATATGATTTCTCAGCATTCTCCTCCTCAAGGTGTCATGATGACGAGATTAACAACAAGCATGGAATTAGGACTTCATTTTCTCTTCTTCTGTTTTTGGTTGTTCTGCTTTTTGAAAGTATCATAGCTCCCCTTTTTGATCTGTTAAGTTCTCCGTGAGTTAGATCACTTATTTTTAGTTTTGGTCATGCGTTTCTGTGGAGTTCTCCCCTATCTATATGTACGGATAGTCTCTCATTTGAGCATCTTTAATGATCTGTCCAATGTGGATAAATTTATCATTAATTATACATGTCTGTAGGGGGATGTTTTGTGGAAGGGGCTCTGTTAAAAAATGCATTTTGGTGGAACGAAACCATTGGACCATGGGAAAAGAGGCCTGGCCATTTTGGTGATGTATGGGGGTATTGGACTGATGACGGACTTGGTCATTTTGAGTTTCTTCAAGTAAAATTCCTTCCCTCTCCTGAATTTTGATGTAAATGGACTTTTAAAACCTGGCCAAGCCTCTTAACAAGAATAGTGTGTGCTTATGCATGTTCCTTACTCGAGTCCTTTCTTGCTGCAGCTTGCCGAGGACTTGGGTGCATTGCCAATCTGGGTTTTCAACAGCGGTATGTCCTCCTCCACTTTCTAAGATGCATTATTTTAAAAAAAAAATCAGTCTGTGTTCTCTCTTCATGCAATTAATTAGCTTTTTCTATGCGACTATTATTCTCAGGAATCAGCCACAAAGAACAAGTTGACACTTCCGATATCTTACCTTTCGTGCAAGTAGGTCTCCTGAACTTTCTCCTGCGTACACATGTCATGAACATTACTTGTTAAATATGATTGAGAATTATAAAAGCTTTGAAGATCAATTTGATAGTCAATATTTTGGACGTACAACTTATCCAGACTCTTATTTCACTAAAATATAGAGGCATACCCATTGGTACAAGACTTTCTAAACACAATCTTCCTCTTTTGTCAGCCATGAAATCTCTGTTTCTTTCCAAATTCTACGAGGCCTATGCTTTAGACGTTAAAATCTCACCACAAATTTGATGAAAACAATCCTTGGAATTAAAATGTTGCATTACTTGGACTGTGGATGTTGCATATTAAGCACTCTTCTTAGGTATTATAAGCATATTTGTTGTCCCAGGATATCTTAGATGGTCTTGAATTTGCGAGAGGTGCTCCTAACTCAATATGGGGTTCAGTTCGAGCTTCAATGGGACATCTAGAGCCCTTTGATTTGAGATATGTCGCTATTGGAAATGAAGATTGTAATTACTCAAAGTACCGTGGTATGTAGATCACATTTTGTTCTATGTTTCATTGGGTCATAATCTATAATATGCATGAAGAATAAAATAGCTTTGTAGCTGGGACATCCCTTTACATTTTTTATTTATAGTTGGATGGGTTTCATAGCCTCCGATGAATTTTGAGGATTGATTCAAATCCTTGTATATAATATGTATGATTCAGGAAATTACCTCAAGTTCTATTCAGCAATCAAAGAAGCCTACCCAGATATCAAGATAATCTCTAACTGTGATGGTTCTTCCAAAGTATTGGACCACCCTGCTGATTTATATGATTTTCATGTAAGATTTTGATGTTGTTCAAAATCTATCTTACAGACAGCATGTACATTTGGGCTTTAAATTTGTTTACCTAAGTCTTCAAGTGAGCGTCTAACTTTGTGATGTCTCTATGGTTAGATTTATGCCAGTGCAAGTGAAATCTTCTCTAATGCCAGCCGTTTTGATGATGCACTGCGCAGTGGACCAAAGGTGAGTTAATGTTCCCTTTGATGAATAATTTCCTTTCGTTTTAAATGGTGCTTATGTATACTGTTTATATTTATAGGCTTTTATAAGTGAGTATGCTGTGCATGGAAACGATACTGGAAAGGGTAGTCTTTTAGCTGCACTGGCTGAAGCTGCATTCCTTATTGGAGCAGAAAAAAACAGGTACTTATCATTTTTAGGAATATATATCAACCTACGTATCTCGACATTATATGTTAAGGTAAAATAATAAGGATAAAACTTCAAAACGTGGAAAATTTATGGTGTGATCTCTTTGTTTGACGATAACCTGTATTTATCCTCGTGCAGTGATGTGATTGAAATGGCAAGTTATGCACCCCTATTCGTTAACGACAACAACTGGAGGTAAGTTTGATTTCTTCTTCTCCTTTTTCTTCAAAATTGGTTATTACTGCAAAATAATGTCCTTTTGTTTAGGTGGACAGCAGATGCGATTGTTTTCACTTCTTCACAGGCGTATGGAACCCCTAGTTATTGGATGCAGCACTTTTTCAAAGAGTCAAATGGAGCAACTCTTCTAACTTCAACACTCCAAGCTAATCCTTCGAATGCACTAATAGCATCTGCCATCACCTGGTTAAATGTGACTGATAACAACAACTACTTAAGAATAAAGGTGTGAAGTTTTTCTTGACGTTTATCATTAGTGCCTCTCAAGACTTACATTATCTAGATTCATACATCTCTGCGAACAAACTAGATGAACTAACAAACTAATATTTATCTTTGTATTAGAGGTTATAGTGCTCAGAAACATAATGAGGATTTGTCTTTTATGTTTCTTTAATAGATTCAATCTGAGTTCATACTTGCTACAATCAACTGATGTTCATTTTGCAGATACATAACTTCGTCTCCATCTATAATTTCGTGACTCGTTTGTCTTTTTTTTCTTTTCAACACGCGACTTATTTTGCAGGTTGTGAACTTTGGGAGCAGCAGAGTTACTCTTAATATCTCTATCAGTGGATTGTCATTGCAGTCCTCTGGGGCAACAAAAACTATATTAACATCTAGCAATGTGATGGATGAGAATTCTTTCACAGATCCTAAAAAGGTATATACAACTTCTTTATCTGATCATTTCGTTTGATTTGGTGACTGCTTTCCTTGAAATAGTGTTCTGTTATTTATGCAGATATCACCAGTTAAGACAATGCTTGGAGAAGTTAGCGAAAACATGGATGTTACACTCTTACCATATTCTTTCACTTCATTTGATTTTTTAATAAAATCCATCAGCATTAGGACTGTAACAACTGCTTCTGATCTTGAATCTTCATTCTAAAACTATGTTATCACTGCAAATGCCAATAAAGAATAATTTCACTTTCATTTAGTTTTTATGGTTCTTTAGTTCTTGGTGTTTTTCAATTTAGTAGCTTTTTCTGTTGCACTTTTAAGGCTTTTGTTGTGGAACTTCTTTTGAAACAGTCTCCATCTCCGTCCTTAACAGATTAAACGAAGAAAATGGGCAAATCTTTAGATGAATGATTGATAAGAAAAGATGGTCTAAGCTTCCTTTGCATTCCATCGATTCATATATCCTTTACAGCTTTAACTAATTTGAGTCGATACAACTGTTCCACATATTCAGAACCTATTTTGCTTGTACTCAAAAGTGCACTAGTCAACATTTTTTAACAGTCCGAGCAAATAGCTCAGAACCAATGACATCAAAGGGGAATGTTTTCACTTTGATAACCTCTAATGCAAACATCTACAAACCCCATGTTGACCTCCAGAAAACTCAAGAAAGTGAGCAAGTGGACAGGGAGCAAAAGCAAACAAAGAAAAGTTCCAGTTAGCATAAAATCACAACTTGTTGATTGACAGTCTAGCTGTCTCAAAGTGTTCTTTCCATGTAAATATTCCAGATCAACATTAAAAGGAAGAAAAAGAGCCTTCTCTATTTAAGTATCAACTAAAACAAGTACAAACTCTAATAGTACCAAATCTATACCATAAAAAAGCAGAAGCTAATTAATCCTTATTTGTTTATTTACAAGTTGAAGACATTGATGTCAAGGTTACAAAAAGGTGAATTGTGTGGTAAAGACTACACATTCTTGTTCTTCTTCAACTTTGAAGGTGGCCATCTCCCCTTCTTCCTAAGGCGGCGCTTCCTGACAAGTTTCTTCCTTCGTAATCTGATGTTCTTTGCCAACTTCATTTTCATCTTCTGTTCAAGCTTCAGCTGAAGCTTAGACTCCAATGGCAGGTTATCAACAGACAAACTTTCCTCATCGCTCTCCAGATTATCAGAATCCCCGCTATCAATATCAGAAGCTGCCTTAGCAATCAAGACACTTCTCTCTTTGAAGATAAAGGGTGCTCGAATATAGTAACTGATATGTGATTTTGGTTGCCAAGCAATGGGATCGTTGCAAAACCTGGAGACTAATACAGAATCAATTATAAAGTTAAGAACCTCTTCTGGATTATAACATGAACAGTCAAGATGTTGCAGATGCATGATGATGAAGATGGGAGTATTTCATGGAATGGTTTAAGCCTGCCTCACTAGAGAAGGATGAAAAAAAGGCAACAGCAATCACATAAAAAGATACATCAACCTCAAATTTTGCAGATTGTTAAGATGCAGGACATAAAAGGTAGGTCTTGATCTGCTACCCCATTCTGGCCCCCCGGGATGGATCGAGAGGCCTGGTTACAGGTTCATATATATATGAGTATATGACTGTAAAGACAATTATTATTATTATAGTTTTAACTTGAGAATTGAGATCGATATAGGAACCTTTAACTTCAAATTTTGAATTTGTCTCGGCCCCAACAATGCAAAATACTAACATTTTTCAGATAAACAGTGGCGGATGCACCTTTGTGTCAGCAAATTCAGCCAGTACAACTGCTATTACATATATATGGTGAAAAACTTTAAAACACTGTTACAAAGAGTATTAAGTACAATGGTAATCCCACCTAAACTGCTAGAACTCCTCAAAAAAATACCAATGGGTGTAGGGTGCATATCAGATCCTCCAAAAATAGTGTTTTTTGGAGAATCTAACGCGAGGCGCCAACATTTTTGATGAGTCCAAGCAGCATAGATCCCAAATCCAAATTGACAAGGTACGGAATGATAACAGGCTAACTCATTAGTATTCTGGTAAAGACCTAAATCGATTCATCCAAAGATACAAACTTTACCAAGAAACAACTATACTTGAGAGCAAAAGAACATAATAGGCCAATTCATAACCTAAAGAAAGTAAATGCAAACTCCAACACAACATAAAACAAATGCAAACAGATGAAAAACCCAGAATTTAGAATCCCACAATAATCTCTGTAGAAACAACAAGAACACAAAATTAATAGACATACGGAGAGGTCATTTCAAATAATTAAACAAAGATACTAACATGAGTGAGCAAACGCCGAAGAAGTTGAAGATGAATGAAAAGAGAGACGAGTAGTGGGAGGAGTCATGATGGTGAACAGTAGAGCCATCTCTCTGGCTTTGGGGTTTCTTTTCTGGAACGCCAGTTAATGGTGGCAGTAGTGGCGGAAGTGCTAGCCAGAAAGTGCCAAAAATGGTATTTAACCCTTTTTTTTCCTATTTAAAAATTGGGTTTCGAGTTTGGATATAAAATAAATATAGAATATGCCGTAGCACAAATTTAAATTATAAAGTCTCCACCTTTCACGGCCATTGGCCTTCTCTGCACCGGCCATGTGACAGAAAAATGAGAACTTTACAACTCCGGTGGAAAAAGCCGGCGAATATATCATCAAACACTCCACTTTCATTTGGCCCTTTCAATTCCACAACTCAAATCCGGTGGAAGAAACCGGCAAACACTGCCCAAACCCGCCTGGAAAACCGGACCCGCGACCCGAATCTCGACAAACTCACAGCACACTACCGGAGACTCAAGCTCATCCTCAACCTCTACGACGTCGTATCTGCAAGAAAACGCGGTCCTTTTCTCTCAGTGCAGTCACTCTCCAAATGGGCCCCACATGCCGGCATTAACACCATTACCGCCGGTGATCTTCTCCGGAAATACCCCCATATTTTCGAGGTATTTACACACCCCATTAAGCGAAATTTATGCTGCAAGTTTAGGGAGAAATTTGTCATTTTGCTGAATCAAGAAGATGATGTTGTATCACAAAATGAAGATGAAAATGTAATGAGAATAAGGAAAATTTTAATGATGTCTGTGAATGGGACAATACATTTGCATGCTCTTAGATTGTTGAGGACTGAATTGGGTTTGCCTGAAAACTTCCGGGACTCGATAATAATTAAGTATGATGAAGTTTTTAGGATGGTAGATTTAGAGGTTGTTGAATTAATTGATAGAAATGACAAAGATGAGAGTTTTGGGGTGGCAAAGGTTGAATCTTGGAGGAAAAAGGAGTATACTGAGAAATGGTTGAGTGAATTTGAGGTCAAATATGCATTTCCTATTCATTTCCCTACTGGATTTAAGATAGAACCAGGTTCTAGGGAGAAGTTGAAAAATTGGCAAAGACTTCCTTATGTTAAGCCTTACGAAAGAGAACTCACGTATCACTTGAATCCGCAAACAACTGAAACCATGGAGCCATCTTCAAGATGTGATGAGTTAACGTTGAGGTCAGCAGTTGTTGGGAAGCGTACTTTTGGAGGTGTTGAGCGGTATGAGAAGCGAGCTGTGGCGATTATTCATGAAGTTTTGAGCTTGACTGTTGAGAAGTCGGTGCCAGTTGAAAGGTTGGCACATTTTAAGAAGGACCTCGGCATTGTAGTTAATATTCGTGAGCTGTTGTTGAAGCATCCTGGGATATTTTACATATCCACTAAAGGGATTGCTGAGATTGTTTTTCTTAGAGAAGCATATAGTAAAGGGTGTTTGATTGAGCTGAACCCAATTTATGATTTGAGAAGAAATATGTTGGATCTTCTCTTGTTAGGAAACCGTCATACGAGTGAATTGAAAACTGAAAGGGAACTGAAGGATGAACCTAAAGACATGACAGACGATGAAAATGGATGGGAAAGCAGAGAGGGTGACTTTGTTATTCCAATTTTAGAGAGTTTTACTGATCACGAGGACAATGACAATATGAACTAGAATGATTACTTCTCTCTAAGGCAGCTGATGGCTTTCTGAGATGGAAATCAGCAAAGAGAGTGTAGGTATTGCAAGCTGGAATTTTCTGCAAACTGACAGAAAATTATGTATTTGTGCTTCGCTGTACTTGCCAGGAACCTTTGTTATTTCAGTTGGTGCCTGTGCTTAAAGATTATGGATTCTTCCTTGTCTTCAATTATGTATAATCTCTAGCGTTGTAGCTCTTCATGTTGTTCATATCTGATAAATGCATATTCCAGTTCCGTTTCTGCCAGATTTTGTTAATTTGCATTTTTACCTTCCAAGTCAATCTGTTAAATTGTGAATGGGAAAAGCTGGTATAATCATAGTGGTAAGCACCTATTGGCTAGCTTTAACAACATCATTATAATCACCAACTTACTAGAACGTGGCTGACATAATCCCATCTTCATCTTGCTTTTTCTGAATTGGAACACTGTTATTTCTTATTTGGATTTGGTTCAACTGAGGAAGCAGAATTTTGTGGAAGTGTGAGATGATAACTATTCCGTGATGCTTGTGACTTGTATAATATAGGGATGATTGAAGATCCTTTTCAAATCCAGGCACAACTGTGCAGAAACAACTGCCATGGAAATATGGAATAGAATGGTGTCAGGTATGATATTTTTGGAGTAATGCAGGTTTCTTTGTGTTGCTTCCAATGAGTGAAATTGGACTCTGTTAGAGTCAATAGAATTTGTCCTTCTACTCAAGACTACTCTAGTTTCCGAATGCAACTTGAACGTGTGCTTGCTGATTTTTGAACCAGATGTTTGAACCATATACTCATAGCTCAAAAGCAGAACTGAATCGATTGGACTTCTCAACCACTACGAAGTTCTGGCCATGTGAAGACTCATTGACATATGGTATCTTCAGTGCAGCAAAAGTGGTTCCATTTTACAACAAAATAAGCATAGAACTAGCTTTGTTTTGCTGCAGTATTGAGCTGGCTGTGGGTATCCCGTGGATTTTGCTTCCTTTCCCTACAAACTACCATAGAAAAGAGTAAATATGCTCAACTTCGTTAGATCTCGGTACCACCTGCACAAATTGCTTGAGTATCAACCAACAATTTCAAACACTTCATAAGATTGATGACATATAATAGTTAGAAATTATGGTTCTAAATCCATTTCAATCTTTTGATCATTCATCCGAAGGATACACTTGATTTTGAATTTGACCAATTGAGATATCAAGAAACAATATTCTTGATTTCTTTATTCGAAATTGAAGCTTTGGGCATATAGAGCAGAGCGAGCCCGGGGAGAGGAGTAACATTGAGCCCCAAAATAGAGTTTCTATTTAAATCCCTACTTCACACGGTGCCTTCAGGAGAATCCGAAGCTGGTGTCTAGTGGAAGTAGCTCGACAAAGAGCAAAGCAGAGCATTCACAAACAAATGGTGTAAGCACAAGGGAAGACCGTTAGCACATATGAAAAGTATTCACCTCTGTGATTTTGATTTAATATCAGTTAAGCGAAATTATCAGCTTCAAATGATACCAAAACAGTATATGATACTGATCAGTTAAGCGAAATTAGTTGGCCAGTATATATTCTAATTATTTAGTGAGATATAAATATAAAAGAATATATAATTATAATTATTTTGTTTTTATGAGATATTTGCTTAATTTCCCTTTTTAAGTATATTCGTCTGACTCACATATATTGTTATTGAACCTCAAATCGGGTCTAATATGCTCCTATTGAGCCTCCGTTAGTAGTGTAGATTTGTTCAATCACACAAAAAAAAAAACTAATTACTTCAACTAAAAAAGGCTTATTCCATTAATATTACTATTAAAAGGATGTCTCAAACTTTGAATAATGTTACTTTCCCCCCCTAGAGTGTCAAAACAAACACCACTAATTAATTCGTGGCGAAACTTGATGAAGTAAAACCAGGCGGGGGTGAAAGTATCATATTTCAGAAATTAGAGGGAGTTTAAACAATTTTCAAGTTTTTCGAGACTATAAAAGGAGCTAAATTCTATAGTCGACCAGAACTAGGGTTTGTGATATTCGTGGCTGAAAATTGGGCGTAATGGGAGAAGAGAAAAGAGAAGTAGTATTTAGAGACATTAGAAGATATTACTGTGAATTTTGTGGCCTTTGCCGTTCGAAGAAATCCCTAATTTCCTCTCATATTCAGTCTCATCATCAAGTACGTTTTTTTCTATGTATTTTCGTTTTTTCTGCATTCATTTTTGTCTACTTGTTATATGAGCTGCTTCGTGTAGATCTACTATCGTGGTTGTTTTTTCTGAACTCGCTTTTAGGGTAAAGTTGATAATCAGTAATTATTAGATTCATTAGCCAGAGCTGAAAGACGATAAAGTTTGTTTTAATGGTACATGACCTGATTTGTTTGGATTTCAATGTTAAACTAGTGTAATTGTTGTTTTAGGAGCTATTATTTGCTTGTCATAGGTTCATATTATCAAAGATTTATTGTGGTTGAGCTTAAATTGTGTATTTGGAGAGAGGTACTGATTTGATTAGTTTAGAGGAAAGTAATACTGAAATGTTTATTGTTTTTACTAATAGGATGAAATTGAGAGCCGGAAAGATGAAGCAACTGAAAATGCGAAGGACTCAAAAATGAACATTTGTGAGGAATGTGGTGTGAGTTTTCAGAAGCCTGCTCATTTGAAGCAGCATATGCAAAGTCATTCACTCGAGGTATGTTTTGTTGTTGCACATCTTTTACAGGTCTTAGTTTACTAGTTATATTTTTTGATTTATTGTCTATGGATGCATTTAATACTAATGACTTTGCAGATTGATATATTTTGAGAAACATTGTGGAATTATGTGAAGGTGTGACGCATTGGATCCCAAATAAAGAACTCCAAAATGCATGAGGCAGGTATATTTCCTTGACTGGATTAGTACCAGGAAGGGGGACCTCCTGAGAAGCTCCATCAAGTGAGCCTCAATCACGCCTTATAATCTTTGTGGTTTGAGACTCTTCCCAGTTCCCCTCCTCCCCAAATACAAAAAGAAAACTTTTCCATTTTTCTCCATTAGCATACGTGCACTTTGGTCTAGGACCTTGTAGATTGAAACTTTCTTAAAATATTTTCTTGTTGATATTTTGCATGAACAGAGACCATTTGTATGTCATATAGATGACTGTCATTCTAGCTACCGTAGAAAGGATCACTTGTCAAGACATCTCTTGCTGCACCAAGGGAAGTTGTTTGAGTGTCCTGTTGATGGCTGCAAAAGCACATTCAGTTTTCAAGGCAACAGGACTCGGCATGTCAAAGAGATGCATGATCAATCTGCCTCCGCAGAGGTTGATCTTCCAAAGGAATATGTCTGCTCTGAAGCTGGATGTGGAAAGGTGTTTAAATATGCATCCAAATTAAGGAAACATGAAGATTCTCATGGTAAGTCAAATTTCAAAAATCTAATTTGCTGTGAAGTATTGATATTTCTTACTTTTCTAGTATTGAAAACTCTTCCAATAAGCTGACTATAATTTGCCATTGTATCACTGCAGTTAAGCTGGAGACTGTCGAGGCTATGTGTTTAGAGCCAGGGTGTATGAAACATTTCACAAATGAGAAATGCCTCAAGGAACACATAGAGAGTTGCCACCAACATATTGTTTGTGAAATATGTGGGACCAAGCAATTGAAGAAGAATATTAAGCGGCATCTTCGCACACATGAAGAAGGGCCTATATCAGAGAGAATAAAATGTGAATTCCAGGATTGCCCACACACTTTCTCCACAGTAAGGACTACTACATTTTCTTATATGTAGTTGAAGTTTCCTTCTGTTATATGGAACAGTAGTGTAATCAATCTAGAAAGCAATGGGCTAATTCATTACTGTTATATGGAACAGTAGTGTAATCAATCTAGAAAGCAATGGGCCAACACATAGACAGCTATGCAACAATTTTTAACCTTAACCAAAGCCATCTCCTTCAAGTTGTTGAGCAACAGTATTAACCTTTATTTGTTGCTTGAAAATACAGAGGTCAAATCTTGCTCAACACATCAAAGCTGTGCATGTGGGAGCTAAACCATTCTCATGTAGCATATCTGGTTGTGGTATGAAATTTGCCTTCAAGCATGTGAGAGATAAACATGAACAATCAGGCTGCCATGTTTATACTCCTGTAAGTAGAATGTATTTGTTACTTGAATGCACATTATGTCATTCAGATCAGTTTTGTTTATATTATTCATGATTGACTTAAGGTGTTTTGATTGTCTTCTATAGGGAGATTTTGAAGAGGCTGATGAGCAATTCCTATCTAGACAAAGAGGTGGTAGGAAGAGAGAACCTACTCTTTTTGAGTCAATTATGCGTAAAAGAATTACACCGCCTAGTGGTACAGATCCTGTGTTCAATCAGACACCAGAATATCTCTCATGGTTAGGCTCCATGGAATCGGATAATCAAATGTGAGATGTCTATTTGGCCAGATGTTGTTGGGTTGAAATCTCATAGTTCCTCTCAGTAGAATCAGGGTTAGACTCTTGAGTGACTTCTGGGCAGTTTCTTGGAAGATTCCTAGTGTTGTATATGCTGTCCATAAGTTGAATGTATCCCACTACATATTATAATATAATGGAGAAGTGTTATCTAAACAGGCGATGCCTTCCTAAATCTCCTTGTGCCTATTTCATTTAATATCGTGTTGTCCGACTGAAGCACTCTACTAAAACGTGCCACAAGTATTTTTTTTCATCGTACCCAAACGAAGGAATCATCAAGGTAAATGAACTGAATGTGTTTTCATTAAACTCTATAACCAACCAATATGCTCAAATCTTTGATAAAGCTCGGTTTGATCTTAAACTAGACATTGTTACTCTCCTGTGATTCTAGAGTTTGCAGTATAATTAATTATATTCCAACTGCAAGCAGACTTGACTATAGCAACCCATGTTTTAAAACTAAATTAGTAAATACATAGGTCATGCAGTACATAAAATATTCTGCAATGCGTATAACAATTAAAAGGTGAATCACTTGATAATATACAATTCATTGACATAGTAACATTGATTATTGCTTTTACTCTCTTTAAATTCTTACTTTGAATGTCATCAAAGACGGATGGTTGAAGTTTTATGAGTTTCTACAGCAATTTAATCTCACCGTGTTTGTTGAGAAGGCATAATTTTCCTCTTGGGCCTTAAAATTGAACCATTGGATTTTACTCTCTGGCCCAAGAACTTGTTGGAGTGCCTAGAAGAAGAAACTTAGACCAAAATTTTAGAAGTTTCTAACTAGTTTAGTTGCTGGAAAAAAAAAGGAAGTGAAGATAAGAAACCATTGGTGTGTTATCAAATATGAGGTCTATATTGTCCAAATCACTATCTGTGGATAAGAGAACAATCTAAAATACCACATTCTTATTGGTTCTCTCATTTATAATCACTTTGAGTCTATCTTCTTTTTATATATTTCTACATGTACATTTAACCAACCACACATTTTGCAAGTTTTCAATCCAACTAAAGAAAGAAAATGGCAGCCACCATAGGTACCATGGCCGTCCTCAACGCCAAATGCTTCACCAAAGCATCTATTAACAACCCATCAAAGCCGAAACCCGTCTCCCTTCTCTCCATCCACAACCTCCCCAAAGGTCTCTTATCCTCAGAAAACGCCTCAAACTTATCCATCCCACTCACTGGAGCCGCAATTGCAGGAGCCATTTTCTCAACACTTAGCTCATGTGACTCCGCATTTGCAGCTCAACAAATCGCAGAATTAGCTGAAGGGGGAGACAACAGGGGATTAGCCCTGTTGCTCCCTTTGATCCCGGCTCTAGCCTGGGTTCTTTACAACATTCTTCAACCAGCACTGAACCAAATCAACAAAATGAGGAATCAAGGAATCATAATCGGGCTTGGTCTTACCGGGCTAGCAGCAACAGGCTTCTTTAACACTCCAGAAGCCTCAGCGGCTAGCGATATTGCGATGATTGCAGAAGCAGCAAGTGATAACAGGGGACAACTTTTGTTGATTGTTGTAACACCTGCTTTGCTTTGGGTAGCTTACAACATTCTACAACCAGCTTTGAATCAGATTAACAAGATGAGATCAGATTGAAGATCATCATAGTTTGTAATATTTGGACCATATAAAATTTTATCAATCAATCAACTCTTTTCCTTGTGTATCGAGTATTTTGTTGTTTGTAAATAGGTATCAGATTAGTGTTCCACAATAACTCACTCAATCTGATCTATCGGCACTTAGTAGGCGTTTGGCCATATGATTTCAAATCAGCCTTTGTTTATGCTCATTTATATGCACATAAAGCTAAAAGAATCAGAACAACACAGTTCTGAAGTTTACCAATACTGGCTAAACCTTATATAGATTTTAAAAAAATTGATACAACATAAAGAAAACAGGATCATCAACACATGGTTTGAATTTGATATGCAATAAAAGGTTTAGCATTCTGATATCCTAGAATTATTTGTTGTAATTCATCTTGACTTTGAACATTTAAACATGATCGAGTAGTGTGAGCTATTGCCTCATCCCTCGGGGAACAGGAGACATTCGATAAAATTGGAATGATAAAGAGAAAGAAGTACTGTGAACTGTATATTGGCGAGGATGTTCAAATAAAGTTGGAACGATACAGAAAAGAAGTGTATACATACTATTGGCTGGCTGGTGTGAATAAAGTATATTTGGAGAATCAGAAATAGGCTGCTGAGTTTGCTAACTCTTAAAGTAAGAGCAGCTTCATCATAAGTTGGATAACTGATTTCATCTGCCTATTTCCCATCCCCTCTCTCTCTATCGGTGCTACTATTACTTGGATATAGGTAATGGATTGTCTATTTGTCTAATCTTTTTAAAAATATATGTATTTCTTTTATTTAATAGTTTTATCATATCGAAAAAAAGATAATTATTTTTCCATTTTCTACACAACATTAATTGACCTAAGAAAGAAAGACATAAAAGACATTCAACGAATACGATTTATGTGTAAATTTCAATTGGTTCCCATTTATTAATGAAATTACATTAATATCCCTTCTATTAAGAAAGACATAAAAATGCATTCAACGTCATCCTTGAGTTTTCACATGGGACATTAATAGTCCCTCATATTTGCAATATTGGTGCACTTTTTGTCCTCCTTCAAAATTTTGCCTATTTTTTAACATTGATTTTATTCATAATTTATGTATGGAATGTTTAATCGTCATTTTATATATATTTTCATTTTATACTCAACATTAATTAAACTGAGAAAGAAAGGCATAAAACGAATTTGATGAATGTGATTTATGTGTAAGTTTCAGTCTCTTCCCATTTATTGATGAAATTACGTTATTACCTCTTCCGTTAAGAAAGGCATAAAACGCACTCAACGAATGTGATTTATGTGTAAGTTTCAGTCTTTTTCTATTTATTGTTGAAATTACGTTATTACCCCTTTCGTTTAATTTTATTTGTCTAATCTTTTTAAAATATATTTATTAGTTTTATCATATCGAGAAAAGATAATTATTTTTTCATTTTATACTCAACATTAATTGAGCTGAGAAAGAAAGGTATAAAACGCATTCAACGAACGCTATTTATGTGTAAGTTTCAGTTTTTTCCCATTTATTGATGAAATTACGTTATTACCCCTTCCATTAAGAAAGGCATAAAACGCATTCAACGAATGCGATTTATGTGTAAGTTTCAGTCTTTTCCCATTTATTGTTGAGATTACGTTATTACCCCTTTCATTTAATTTTATTTGTCTAATCTTTTTAAAATATATTTATTACTTTTATCATATCGAGAAAAGATAATTATTTTTTCATTTTATACTCAACATTAATTAAATTGAGAAAGAAAGGCATAAAACGCATTCAACGAATGCGATTTATGTGTAAGTTTCAGTCTCTTCCCATTTATTGATGAAATTATGTTATTACCCCTTCCGTGAATAAAAGGCATAAAACGCATTCAACGAATGCGATTTATGTGTAAGTTTTAGTCTTTTCCTATTTATTGTTGAAATTATGTTATTACCTCTTTCGTTTAATTTTATTTGTCTAATCTTTTTTAAATATATTTATTAGTTTTATCGTATCAAGAAAAGATAATTATTTTTTCATTTTGTACTCAACACTAATTGAGCTGAGAAAGAAAGGCATAAAACACATTCAATGAACGTGATTTATGTGTAAGTTTCAATCTCTTCCCATTTATTGATGAAATTATGTTATTACTCCTTCCGTTATTAAATGCATAAAATGCATTCTACGAATGCGATTTTTTTTCCTCAAAAGAATGCGATTTATGTGTAAGTTTAAGTCTCTTCCCATTTATTGTTGAAATTACGTTATTATCCCTTCCATTTAATTTTATTTGTCTACAATATTTGAAATTTATTTATTTTTTTATTTATTACTTTTTTCATATCGAGAAAAGATAATTCTTTTTTTCATTTTATACTCAACATTAATTAAATTGAGAAAAAAAACATAAAACGCATTCAACGAATGTGATTTATGTATAAGTTTCAATCTCTTCTCATTTATTGATGAAATTACATTATTACCCCTTCTGTTAAGAAAGGCATAAAACGCATTTAACGAATGCGATTTATGTGTAAGTTTCAGTCTCTTCCCATTTATTGATGAAATTTCTTTTAATTTTATTTGTCTAATCTTTTTAAAACATATTTATTTCTTTTATTTATTATTTTTATCATATCGAGAAAAGATAATTATTTTTTCATTTTATACTCAACATTAATTGCGCTGAGAAAGAAAGACATAAAACGCATTCAACGAATGCGATTTATGTGTACGTTTCAGTCTCTTCCCATTTATTGTTGAAATTACGTTATTACACCTACGTTTAATTTTATTTGTCTACAATTTTTTTAAATATATTTTTTACTTTTATCATATCGAGAAAAAATAATTATTTTTTCATTTATATCTCTTTTTTCTTCGATTCATTTGATCTCAACAAAGTCGCCACACACACGCTACTGTAACAAAATATATATATATAAGTATGCATGGTAGACGCTTGAATTATTTCATCATTATACTATATTGTATGTTGTATGATCATCGTTGTGCCTTGGCTGATGACCTTTGAAGTTGACTACAGAATTTTGAAAATAGGGCTTTTATTGCAACAACATATCAAGTAGAAGCAGATTTTGCAGCAAAGATATGTAAACAAGCTTCTATTTCAAAGCTTGTCATCATCTATTTTCTCAGCATATTCTTTCTCAAAGAATGATACTAATTGATTTTAGCACTTGGCACATCATGTTTTAAGACTAATATACATTAACACATTCTTCAAACCATACTTAAGTAGATTATTATTATATATAGAGAGAAATGTTGCACAAGTACGTGATGATTTAGTCGTCTCCTAATGAAAGGATATCAACATAACTCCAACGCTAAAAAGGTAATAAAAAATAACTATGTTTGAAATTGAGACGTAATTATTTTTGAACATTATTGGCATAAAATGAGTCCAAGATTCATGCACCCGCACCCAGCTAGGCTAGTTTGAAATTGAGACGTAATTATTATTGTTTTAAATATATTCTGTGATATTATTTTGTATTGTTAATACACATATTAATATCCAAAACTAAATTATAGTATAAGGTATGAATTATTGCATAATAACTAACACAAAGCAGACAAAAATATGCATTTATTGGACGGCATCTGTTTAAAATTACAAAACCGTCCAATGAAGACGAACTAAAAAAAATTAAATTTAAATGATGTCATTAATCGTAATGATCCCCTATGCATGGCGTCAGCACTAGGGCCCATTTAAAAAATTTACGATTTTTATTTTTATTTTTCAAAAAGTTCATATTTTTTTGAATTTAACCTTCTAGAAAAGTTGCATTTGGTCTTATATAATAATAATATATATAAATAAATCATATTTAGATCTATCTAATCTATGGTGGGATCTCTTTTTTATCTAATCTTTTTTGCTTTTTTAGCTCATACTAATATATGATTTATTTGTCATTATCAACAGCTTGAAGGGTTTACTTATATATATATTTGATTATTTGACTATTCTTACCTAATTTTCTTGTATGTTCCCTCAATTGTGACCACCAATTTGTATTTCAATGTTATTATTTTTTATTTAATAAGTCAACTAAATGACACGTTACTACATTTCTTTCAATTTATACAATAGTATTTCACCAAGCATGAAATTCAAAAAAGAGATTCATTTATTTTTATATAATCCTAATCATGATATGATTATTGTTCTAAATGAGTTATCATTAAGAGTAAAATATAAGAATATATACTATAACAAAGCTACATTACTATTATCTCATTTTTATTTTATTTTCGACAAATATTATTCAGGAATAATAATGATATTTTATGACTTTTTTGGGCTGCCCCCTTTGCCCTCAACATTTATAAAATTCTTGGGCAGTAATCAATGACTACAAATATGGAAAAGTCAGTTTATGTGACTTTTAAGTGGAAGATACCTTTTGTTTAATCACTTATTTGAGTAAATTAAACTAACTAAACCAAGCATTACTATGATTAAAGTAATTTAAACTCATCCATCCTAATCAAAATCCAAGCACTAATACACGGTTGCCTCAGTTGCATCATTTGAACTTTTTAGTTTAGCACTTTCATAATAGCATATCAATATGTTTTCATTGATTGAATCTGCAGACGATAAAATGTAAGCACACCGTACTTATATTACACATGAATAAAAAGATTATTTTGGACAAATTATCGATTTTGAGTAAGACGTAACTACAAAATTTACTGCTCACATATGTTAATAGATTAAAGTGCTTTAGTAATTAATTGGAGTTCCAATAAAAGGAAAAAGGAAGTTACTAAAATCTTATCTCCACTAATCCCCTTTTGATCGAATTAGCAAATTGCTTTTCTTTCTTATATGTCTGTGTTTAATTAAACAGTGTCACATAATAATAATAGATTTACACTTTTTTTCTTTTATTTATAAGTCGAGAGGACATAAATATCGAAAAATTAAAAAAGTCGAATTGAACCAAACTACTGTGATTATTTGATTTCGATTCTTCAATTTTTTGATTCGATATTAATGTTGCTTTTCAAAAATTCAATTTTCAATTTGATACTTAGACGTAAAAGTCTCGAAACTTTAATACAAAATCGAATCAAAAAACAGAACGCACTCCCATCTGATGTTTAGAATTCAAATTGAAGTTCCGATTAAATTCGAATTTTACAAATTTATAATTTGTCCATTCGATGGGTGATGCGATTTGCTCTGTACCTAGGGTCACACCGTCAAAATAAAATGTTAAACCCAAAATTATCGTTAGAGTGATTCCTGTACGTACAGATATGCTGACACGTGTCCCCACAACACGCGGTTTCTTCCTTTCTACTCTAATCTTCCCCTTCATATATACTTCCTCCTTTCATGCTTTACTTCTCTAAAACGGAGGATGCAGTTCAACACATTTTGTTTCTCTAAAAATTGAATCTTTTTAGCTCTATTTTTGTACTAAAAATGGCTTCTTCTGACAATTTAATGACCATGGAGCCATGGGCTTTCCGTTCTGCTTTTGCTGATTCTTGGTTTTCCGACGTATTCACCAGAGAAACTGAAACATTAACCAAAGTCCTCCAAAAATGTGCCTTTCCTGAGCCAGAGACTAAACCGGTTCAGACTTCAACCGGGTCCGGTCGAACCAATTCCGGTGGGTCAGAGAATGAGACGACCGGTTTTTCGAACCGGAGGAGCAAAGTCGGAGTGAACGGGAAGATAACTAAGAGGAAGTCACGTGCTTTAAGGCGTAATACGACCACGTATATAACTGCTGACGTGGATAATTTCCGGGAAATGGTGCAGCAGGTGACCGGCGTTAGCTTCGGCGGCGACGGACAGCTGCCGGTTGCTCATGTTCTGAAACCTGAACCTCAGCGTGTTGTTAACCGGCTACAGCCTGGTTGCTTTTTGCCAACTCTTGACACGTCAGCTTTTTTGTTGGACCACGTCACTCAACAATCAATGGAACCTATGCTGGCACAGCCGCAGACGGCGGCGGATGTGGTCGTTGATGGCGCCTCATGTGGATTTGATTTTAGCTCTTTTTCTGCCTTTCCTACCCTTGAGTCATTCATGGAAAACAGCAATGTAGTTTAATGTAGCAGACCCTTTCTGTAATTTCACTTGGAGGGTGTAGATTTTTGGAGAAGTAGAGGAGAGGGTAAAATGGGAAAAATCAAAATATGTTCATAGTTTTAGTTTTAATTTTAGCTAATCTAGTAGTGTTATTTTTCCTTTTTTTTTAGTAAATGAGAATATGAAGGGATATGAGTTGTCATATCCTTTCATTTTCATGTTTCAATTGTAATCTCAAATCTAATTCAAATATCTTTTTAAGAAATCTTGTATCCTTGAAACTTAATGAAGGTATAGATGGATCGAGATCGAATCTTCTATTGTTCCTCAATAGCTCAAGCGGTTACAGCCGAGAATCGATGACGAACTTTCATCAATTCTCTTTCCGATTTGGTTTCTAAGAGGTGTCAACCATAAAAAAAAGATCTTGTCCTTCAAAGATCGATCTGATAATTGCTTAAGTAAGGTTGTCACTTCTCTTTTTCGATATACCGCTCAGCGAAGCAAATTAAATCAATTTGACTATGAGACTCCATAACGGCATCGATACCAACTTAAGTCAATACTTTCACTTGTCAAATATCAATTGTACCACTTGTAACGCTCGAATTTCAGCACATACAATTGTAGGTATGTTAAACAAGCTACGTATACCACTACCTAACTAATTATTCCATGTAAAAAATAGTCTTTTGGGCGGAGACTACTTGTCGTAAGATAGATAGATAACATGCTTACTTGCCTACCTACTAACAACTACTACTACTCTTTAATGAGCTACACACCTCCTAACTAATTTCTACTAATTACAAGCTTTATGAGTAGCAATAACTATCATACAATTCAATTTTAATTTGGAACTTTTTGAAAGGAAAAAAAGAAGAGGTGCTACATTTTCCAACTATCTCAACATTATTATTTTATATACGACAAACATATTAATTTATTACATGACTATAAGAACATATATCATAAAAAGAAAAGCTCATTGAGTTTTCAAATACATAAAGCAAAAATAACATATTTAATGTAATTTCAAAAAGTGTAGTTTGAAGAGATAGATAAATTGTTTTTGATCAATACTCGACTCAAGAAAAACAAATCCATAAAATAAAGTAACAAAAATGAAAGTATAACAAAACATTCTAAAGAGCAACTACAATAAAAGAAACCTTAATCGAAATATAAAAGATAACAGATCCAATCAAAGGATAAGAAATTGCCAGAGCAATACTACTACAACTAGACGAATATTAAGCACTATTACCTGCTTAACTTATCCATCTTAATATGTATATTTGAGGACGTCCTGTGACCTGTCAAACACATGAAATATGTAATTACGTACACAAAATTCAAATTCTTGAAAAGTAAAATTTCTTCTATTTTAATACAAAAGGTCCCACTAAATGCTATTTAGATACAGACAACAAAACGCGTTAGCCCCATCTGATCATCTGATCTTCATAAAACTTTTACATTTTCCCATACAAACAATAATACTATATACTATATGATATTTAATCAATTTATTATTATTAATAATATATAATGTACCTCCACTGGAATTATTCTGTTATTACACTTCCCTTTCAATTTAGAATAGTTTAATCTTAATCTTAATAATTAAGAAAGAAAATTTTGGTGGAAATTCTTACTTAACCAAGTCAAAAGGTTACTGCAAAATGTAGAAGAAATAATACTACTTGACATGTTAGGTCTATGCATAGGTTGACTTGAGTCTATTGCTTTGTGTTAATATAATATTACTACTATTTTTTTAAATCTAGTTTAGATTAATATTTAATTATTTTGTATATTATTTTCCACTTGAAATTCGAGTATACTGTCTAGAATTGTTAGACTTGGTCATACACCAAGAAAATCAATACCAATAAATGCAATTTTAAGGGTCAAAGTGACATAGGCATGAAGTGTTGCTGACACAACTTCAATATTATGTTAAAGCGGTGAATTTAAAATTTAAACAGCGTATTCAAACATATATTGTCTCTATATGACAAAGAAAGAAAGTTATAGTACATGAGCGATAATTCAAAACTAGCCAATATAATTTTCTTACTTCGTAAAGATATAGATAAAGTCTGTATATATATATTTTCTTCGATCTTATAATTTATGAAATTATATTAAATATATTATTGGTGTTAGTAAAATAAAGTTAATACTCACTATTATTATTAAGTGATGATATACATTAGATTAAAGAATTTTAGGGAGTGGGGGGCGTTGTTGACCTATGACTTTTAGGCCCTACAAAAGTGAGCATAGTGGTGACGTGTTAACTGACTTTAATTATCTGTCTTTTTTTTAAAAATTTTTTATCTTGGTCTCAATTATTAATTTGCTACGGAGTAGTTGTTAGTGTGAAATATGGCAACCAATGACATCAACCTTATCAAAGCATGATGCTACACTTTTTCAATTCTTTTATTTTTTGAAAAGAATTAAAAAAAATTAGAACTTGCTCAAAACCTGTTTGTTACCAAAAAAAATAGGTTCAGATTAAAATAAAGCAGTTTTTAATAAAAAATAATTCTACATTTAAGACTTAAATTTTAGATTTATAATTAGAGATAATATGATATATTATTATTCAACTGCAACCTTTGTTGATAATTTGTCTACGTTATTGCATTAATTTTATTTTTCCAACTAACTCATAGATGAGGGCTTTTTTTCACCAAAAAAGAAAACATAAATAATCATATTCAACATATGAGCCTTTTCTAATTATAAAAAAGGTGATAAAATCTCTCTCTTAATTGATGACTTCCTCTAGTTAGTATACTCTATAAATTGTATTCAAGAGTATTGTTTAATGATTAATAAAATGGGTTTTTAATCATAATACTTCAAATTTAAATTTTAACATAGATAAAATATTAGATGATTTTTTCTTATTTATCCTAAACTTATTAAACAATATTATGTAATAAGTGGTGTTGGTGAAAGGTGATAACTATTCGTAAAATTAATCAACATATAGATAGCATTACTAACAAATAATTGATTAATAAATGAATTACAAAAAAGAAAAATGTCTCAATATGCAATAATAACAACATCTCAAAAACAAAAGCTTGTTTAAATTTTGCAATAATAACAACATCTCAAAAGGAAAACCTTATTTATAGAACGAAGTATTTCACATTGTGCCTCTTTTGTATTTATGGTGAGAACCAAAAAATTATGATGATAATCAAATTAATTAAAATTTAAATTGATATTTTTAACTATATTTTATTGATTGTTGAAAAAGTCAAATTCTGTTAGCTTACTTTGATTAATGAAATCTAAAATATAGATAGTCATAATTAAATTTTACTTCTTTTTCTTGAGGCAAATAAAAGATTAACTACAAATAAACCTTTATTGAATAATGTAGACAGAATATCATATAATCCATTTTCCGAAACAAAGTTTCATACAAATGTGATGTTATCTTTTAATTTAATTCATTGGGTGAATGATTTATCATTAGTTCCTATATGTAAAAGCACAAAGGCACCTAGCGAAATGTAATTTATTTGTTTTTCTGATATTTGAAATTTGTATAATTCGATAAAATTTGAATTTGTATTAATATGAAATATTTTTTAATAGGAATGATTCTATATCCAAAACACAAATTTAAAACTTTGTTAGTAATGGTATCCATATCACTGAATTAACTTTATTTTTCCAATTAACTCATAGATGAGGGATTTTTTTTCCCAAAAAAGAAAATATTCAAATTCAAAATATGGGCCTTTTCTAATTATCAAAAGGGGATAAGACTTCTCTATTAATTGATGACGTCCAATTTTATAATAACAAATTTTTAAATCTTTAGCTAGTATACTCTACAAATGATCCAAAAGGGTGGTCTAATAATTAATAGAGTGAGTTATCAATTGTAATGTCTCAAATTTAAATTTTAATATAGACAAAAAATATCAGGTGATTTTTTTTTCATCTATCCTAAGCTTAATGAACAAAATTATTCTGATAAGTGTTCCTGGTGAAAAGATATAACTATCAGTAAAATTAATCAAGAGATATCATTACTAACATATAATTGGTTGATAAATTAATTTACAAAAAATAAAAGTTCTCAATAAGCAATAATAACAACATTTCAAAAAGAAAGGTTGTTTAAATTTTGCAATTCATTGTTCAATAAATGAATTTAAAGAGGGTCTAGCAAATTCAACATTACATGATTAAAATGTAAAAAATCGTCATTCTCTTTTTTAAATGGGTTCTTTCGAATTGGACGCCATTCAGTGAAAGAATCTTCACAAGTGACTGGACATTCTATGGCAATAGTAGCCTCGCTTTTTGCCATATCTAGATCATTTTCATCTAAATATTTAATTGCATTGCTAATGTCAAGCACTGCTAAAACATAATTATCTCGACAAATCTGAATACATTGCTTGAGAATTGATTCCATTGGTTTCTTCAATAAAATTAGAGTTTGATTATAAATGACATTTGCCTTGGCTAAAGACAATTGTAGCATGATATGTGCCAAACCTTTCTTATCAGCAGAAGAACTTCTAGGATCTGCTCTGAGAGAATTGACGCATAATTTATAGTCATCAGATTTTTTACAAACATCGTCTATCAGATCTCCATATGAACGGGCCACAAAAAAGAGAGAGACGAAAAATATCACGATCAACATTTTCATGAGTTTCATTTTTTCCTTTTATCTTTTGTGTGAAGTATGGCATGATCGATGAGGTATATATATAGAATGCAATTTTCAAATTATGTCTCTTTTGCATTTACAGTAAAAATCAAGAAGATTGTGTTACCATTATTTTAATAGCAAATTAATGTTAAAATTTAAGTTGATATCTTTTAAAATATTTCCTTTTTTTCTTTGGGAAATAAAGTCAAATTCGATTATTCATTTTAATTCATATTAAGTAAAATGTTGGAGTATGACATATCATTTAAGAAAAATATGCCAACCAATAACGTCAAGCTTACCAAAGCATGATGCTATACTTTTTCAAATGATTTTTGAAAAAAAAAATTATAATTATAAATTTGCTCAGTTTGTTTGCAAAACTTGTTTTTTTAACTTTTTTCTTAGGAAATTGTAAACTCAATTTTTTGAATAAGTGTTATCTAAATCGCTATTCTTTTAATTGTATTTGAGATCTATAATGATCTGATAAAATTTAAATTTGTTTTTTAAAAAATCATATCAAGATAATGTGTGTCCTAATAAAAATAATTTTACATTCAATACTCAAACTTGTAACATGTAATTAATGATAATATGGTATATCATCATTCAACTACAACTTCTATCAGTAATGCTGTCTACATCACTTCTAGATATCAAATTATAACTTTAAAAAAAAAACATATTTCAAAATCAAAGAAATGAACTTCTTCATTTATCAAAAATAGGAAGTCTCTTTCATAATTCATAATTGATGTCTCCCAAATTTATAATAATTCTCATATCTCTAATTAGTATACTCTATTAGTTGCATTCAAGAGTGTGGTCTAATGATTAATAAAGTGGGTGTTCAATCATAATTTTTTAAATTTAAATTTTAACAAAAATAGCAATACAAGGTGATTTTTAAAAATCTATTTTAAGCTTAATGAATTGGATTATATGATAAGTGTTGCTGGTGGAAAGTGACAACTATCCAAAAAATTAATTAAGATGTAAATAGCATTACTAACAAATAATTGATTAATAAATGAACAGAAATGTAACGACATGTTCCTGTCGTTATAGAAAAGCCAACGGGGAAAAATTTGGGACGAAAAACTATTTCGTAGTAACTTAGAATTTCCCAACCTAGTCCAGATTTGGACAAAATCGGAGTCAGTGAGGTCTAGGGAAATCTGGTAACAATTGGGTGATCTAAATTTGATTTTGATCACATGAGTAGATAGCTAAAACGCTAAGAAACCCGTGCGACTTTACAGAATTGAATTCGGGGGAGTAGAACTCCTGAAACCGATCTTAGTGTGAACGGGTAGTTTCTGAGTGTCATGGGTTGAATGAGTGTTGTGAAATGAGGGTTTGGAATTCTTAAATTTGCTTACTGTTTTCGTGCAAGCCGCTAAGGCGGGATTTTCCCACCAGGGCGGGGCCGCTGTAGCGGGGTGAGGACCGCTGTGGCGGGACAGACGCGACTTAAGTCGAAAATAAACCCAAAAACGTTTTATTCTGCACTTTTTGACTTTGAGAGCTAAGAAACAACCCCTGGTGTTTTCTTGACAGTTTCCATCATTCTTGAGGCTAAAAGTAATGTTTCACTCCCAAAATCCGTTTTTTGATCCGTAGAACTTAGTTTAGTGGGTAATTTTTGTTGGGGAAGGGTTTTTGAACTGTTTGGATGGTGGGGAAAGCCCTAATTTGGATATTGGAATCATGAGTTTGATCTAGGGTTGATAGAGTTGATTGTAATCCGGTAATTAGACATTGTTTATTGATTCCCGTGTTATATTAATTGTTTGTAGACCAAAAACAAGCGGAAAGAATTCGGAAAGGGAAAAGTCAAGTTTCTTAGGGGATTCAAGCTTTGTTTGAAGTAGGTGATGGTTGTGATTTCATGTTATGTGATATATGTTTGTTCTTTCTTCATTATAATGCATGTATGTATGCGAATGTTGCATTGTTGATTTCACTAAACGTAAATGAGGATAATTGAATAATTACATGCCATGAATCATGACTTGATTGTATGATTATGAGAATGTACATTGTGATTGTGATTGTGGCTTGTTGAATGGATACGGTGTTACGTTCCGACACACTTACTGTGATCGGTTGCCACGTACCGGCATAAACATTAGAATGGGTGTCACGATCCGAGATGCTAACTTGGAACGGGTACCACGTACCGATACACTAATAGTTTGGGTGTGGGTTCCATGAGGACCATTGATTTGACATAACGGTATATCTTGAGAATTGTGAAATTGTACGTTGTTCGTAAGTGATATTGATATTGTATATGTTCGGTGTATGCATGTTATTATTATTGTGGTAATGACTTATGTATGTTGCACTTAGTGGGATAGCCGTGTAATCCTACCAGTACACTATAGTTGTGTACTGATACTGCACTTGCTCTTTTTTTGTTGAATACAAGGCATCTTCAAGCGGCTACTGACAGACCTCGTTTAGAGAATCAGTGATCGTCATTGAATTTAAGAGTGAGCCAGTTCTTCCGGGCTGCCATGAGTACTCTTTTCGTTTATGTCCCCATTTTGGACTTAGACTAGTAAATTAGGATTTTCTATGCTTAATTGGGTTGTACCCACTTTCTTAGACTCGTTGAACTTTAGATGTTTTGGTATATTGACTTTCAGGTTCTAGGTATTATTCCACATTTATTTTTATTAGACTTTTGGAGTTTATGGGAACTATATCTTTCCTTTAGCATTTAAACCTGCTTTAGTAATTTTAAATGCCTTAGTTTTGATTAAGTTGTGTAGTTCTTGGTTAGCTAATTAGTATTAATGGTTCTCCCACGGGAGGGTTAGTGTGGGTGTCAATCACGATGGTCTGAGTAGTGACAAGGGCCTAAATACCCTCAAACTATTGGAAATGATACAAAACTACCATTCATCTACCTATTGGCTCCCAAATACCCCTGTCATCCACATATTGGCTCCCAAATACCCTGTCATTCATCTTTGAGTTTAATAGTGACCACTTTATAATGGATTATCAGTTAAATAATTTAAATGTTTTTTTTTTAATTTCGTAGCGACTATCTATTGGATACAATTTAATTACTTAAATTAATTTACAAACCCACCCATTACTAATTATACCGATCCAAATTAACTGAATTCATCCCAAACTACATTTACCTCACCGATTAAAATAAATACACCCTTCATTTCCAACATTTCACTTCCTCCTTCAACCTTACTCCCCAATATATTCGTCTATTATCTCGAAAAACACTACCTAAATACTTTCATGTATCACCATAAAAAATCATAAGTGTTTTGGTGATTTTTTGTGGTGATGCAAGTGTGTATTTAGGTAGTGTTTTTTGAGATTGTAGACGAATATATTGGAGAAGAAGGTTGTCAGATGAAGTGAAATATTGAGAATGAAGGGTGTATTTGTTTTAATCGGTGGGATAAATGTAATTTTGAGCGGATTGTAATTAATTTGGATCGGGTGTAGTTAACTTGAGTCGGGTGTAGTTGATTTGGTCGGATATAATTATTAATGGGTGAGTTTGCAAATTAATTTAGTAATTATATTGTAACCAATAGATGGTCTCCATGTAGTTAAAAAATTACTTAAATGATAATCCGCTATAAAAGTGGTTAATATTGAATCCAAAGTTGAATGACAGAGTATTTGGGAGCCAATAGGTAAATGTCGAAGATATTTGAGAGTTAATAGGTGGTTGAGGATAATTTTGTACCATTTCCAATAGTTCAAGGATAGTTCAGACCCTTTTCCGATAAATGAATTTGCAAAAGAAAAAAAGGTTTACAAACTCAATAAGCAATAATAACATCTAAAAAGAAATGTTGGTTTGAATTTATAATTCATTGTTTAATCAATGAGTTTATAAAAGGTCTAACAAACTCAATATCTCAACATTAAAATGAAAATTTTCGATTATTCATTTTACATAGATCCCTACTTTTAACTTGACCAAAATTTATAGTGCACATATACTTGTTAATACTATGTTTCAATATATGAAGTCATATATAGTATAACTTTAATTTATTTGAAACACAATTGTCAAGCAATACATATCATTCTTATCTGTTATAAGCGCCATGTAGTTGAAATAAAATAGAGGAAGCATCAACGAATGGAAAGACCAAATCTTTTTATATGTAAGACTCACCATTCCTTTTGATTAACCACATGTAAAATAAACATAAAACGAAATCATTTCAATAATTAACACATCACAACAGAGATGGCAAATCAATAACAACATAATAACTTAAATTATAAATAGAAAATTGTTCCAATATAGAACTTAGTTTGTATTGCAAAGCTATACCTTATAGTTTTCTTTTCAAAACTTACAAACATAAAATCTTGAAAAAAAATTCCTACAAAAAGAATGACTAAGATGTAAAGAATAATATCCAAATTGATACAAACTTATCATTAATATTTTGAATGAGAAAAAATGGTTTTAGAAGCTAAAAGACATATTAATTATACGCAAGATTTAAACACTAATGGGAGGTTGCATATATATTTTTATCAAAAATTCAAATTCGATTCAGAAATTAAATAAGTCAAGATAGAAAAAAAGTACACAATCAATTAAGTATAATACTATTTTTATCTATAAGAGATCTAAGTAATGTGGGACTGTGGAGGGAATCCATTTGTCACCGTTTATGAAATTTCTAACTGTGAAATTTGATACGATTCTGGGATCATTAGTAGTTGATGCCCACTTCACACGCCTCTTTAAATCTGCACCGACTCCTTTATTCTGATATTCTAAATAATATGGCTGAACTCTAGGCATATTTTCAAATTCTATCCACCCTCTTGGATTTACGAACATATCTATGCAACTCTGCATAATCACGATACGTGAAAAATTTCCCCACGGCCGACCTAAATACATAGCTACATTATCCCCTGCATTTGGAGTTGCTAATGTCAACGTGCAATTCTGTAATACGAATCCTGATGCTCCATCGTCATTTCTCTGTTGTGCTGTGATGACGATGTATTGACCATTCAATGGCTTACATACTTCAATTAAACAACTTTGGAACACCGCAATTGCGTCACCGCAAATAAAGTCTATTGTGCCCAAAATTGTACATTCTCTATAGAACTGCTTGCCATGGTGTGCATATATGGTGTCTTGAAAACCATCAAATAGACACCTGTAAAAGGTGATGGACTCGGCAGATGCCCTTAAAGCTACTGCTTGATAGTTCGTAGGTCCTGCCGTGTTTCGAAAAGCAATGTCTTGCGCCATAAAGCCTACTCCATCCACTCCTTAAAAGAAAACAAACAAACAAACAATCGTCAGATCGATAATACTAATACACACTACGTAAACTTAACAAGAACAATAATATATTTTTATATGGTTAATTTTGAGCGGGTTGTAGTTAATTTGGATCAAGTGTAGTTAACTTGAGTCGGGTGTAGTTGATTTGGGTTGGATGTAATTATTAATGGGTGAGTTTGTAAATTAATTTTAGTAATTAAATTGTAATCAATAGATGGTCGCCACGTAGTTAAAAAATTACTTAAATGATAATCCGCTATGAAAGTGACTAATATTGGATCAACTAACCCACAGTAGCAGTGTAGTATGTCCCTATTCCACCTCCATAACTCTTATTTCCCGATATTATTGTTTTGTCCATTCCTTCTCCGATGAAAACGATGTTCGTTTTCCATGAGTCGATTTGGACATATTCTTCATAGGTTCCTTGTTTTATTTGAATATAGTATTGTACAATACTATTATTCGGACACGCGGATAGAGCAGCCATTATAGTGTTATAGTTTCCCGACCCATCCTTTGCTACTATAACATTTGGAGGATGTGAAACATATTGACTTCCTCCGCATTCTAATATAGATAGTAAAAAAATAACGATAGCCAAAAATTTTACGTAACAAGAATTGAATAAAAGCAAAAAGGCGAGAACTTGATTTTCTTTGAGTTGACTCATTTTTTTAGCAAGAAATGTAGAAAATGATATGAGAGTATATGGTTAATTGTATTGTGTGTGCATTCCAGTTTTCAAGATTGTTATGTATATATAGATAATTGGAGGAATGAATTAGAAGAAGTAAGTTGAGATATTGTTTAGTACTACCAAATAGATCCAAATTTGATTACTTGAAACTTTTACAATCATTAGCTTTATTTTGGATCAAAAAATTTAAATTACAATCATTAGCTTCATTATGCATTATAAGCATTGTCCATAGTGAGGTGATCATCAGGACGGAACGGTGCACTTCATTAGAAAATTATAGTGTATATACCGATGAAATATTGTTTGATATAATTATATTATAAGATTTGGAGTTTATGCTTTTAAGGTAATATAGATAGATATAAAAGTTTGGTGTATTTTTTGAATTTTTTAAAATTCCCAAAAACTAGTTTTTTCTAGTAGTTGGGAACTTGGATTTCTTGGCAAAAAAATTTGTCAAGTTATGTGGCCAAACTCCAGCGGCCAAATTTTTCTCAAGTTTTTCCCAAATATTCCCAAATAAAACTTGAGGCCAAACGGGTCCTACTTCTCATTATAATGGGTAGGATTCCAACTTCCTCACGTATGCTACTAGCTTAACGAAAATAAATCTCTTGTATGATCACCCTTAGGATAATATCTACTAATTAATAATCCTGCCTTGAGTTGAAAAATTCTCTGATTTTTCTCTTGCCGCACATAGTAAACAATTGTTGTCACAACAATTTTGTACACTGTTGGACCATTACTTATTTCTTTACAATTTTTAATTGCCCATTATATCTCCCTTTACCACGTCATATTTCCTCAAAGGATAGTTTGCTGTCGTAGTACTTTCTTTCAAATGCTTCCAGAGACCTCACATACAAAGAGGAAACTAGCGCTGTTCAAAATTAAACCGAAAAAAAGTTATTAATTTATCAGTATTGGGTTATTGGTTTAGCAGTTTTGATAATGATTTTGATTTTTTTTTCTTATTGGGTTATCAGTTCATAACGGTTTGAGGTTTTTTCTTAACGGATTAACCGATAACCCGATAGTAAATTAAATAATTATATTTATACCATTTTGTATATAAAGTCCTTGACTTATAGTTTGATTTCCTACTTTTATTTCTGGTTGTCTCAAACACTTGGTCATTCTACAATGTAAAAATGTTTGCTTTTGAGCAAAATGTAACTTGTGAACTCATGTGCATAGTTCATTTGGTTTGTCACCTTGTTTCTAAGTGATTTTCAATTATTTTTTTTGTGTCACAGTTAAACCGATAACGATAAAAAACCGATAAGCTAATATCTTAATGGTTCGATAATGGTTTAGCATCCCTACAAACAGATAACCAATAAGCCAAATCGATAAACTTTAAAACCAAATCGAACCGATCAATACGCAAATGCTCCATTGTTTCATCCACACAGTGAGATGGTGTTAATTCCCTATCGAGTAATTCTATCTCGCGTCGTCAATATATCACAAACTACTAGTCTGAATATGAATTTATCTCCCATACACTTCTCCCTATTATGTAATATGTGTAGTAGACCCATATAGTCCACATCTTCTCCTTTCTTCGACATATACTCCATAGTAGTTTACAAATTGATGCTTTATTTCACAATCCAATGTTAATAAAGTTTAAGTTCCCCCGATCGAAAAAGTTTATCCCACACTATTAATGCTTTTTTTCGTTATTTCTAAACAATCGATCGACAAGAATCTCCTACATATAGTCTCTATAAATTGTAAAGATATGGAACCTGCCTAACTCTAATTTCAAAAGCTAGTTCATGAAGGGAGGGTTGTCCACGTTCATATAAGAAAAATTCTCATCCCTCTATCGATGTGGAACTTCTTAACATAAACTTGATCATCTTCTTTGGTAAAATGAACACTTATGCCCAAAATGTGTGAATGAAAAACAAAACAATTTTGATTAGTTTTGTCCTTCCGAGACACGACAAAAATCTTGTGGTCTAAGATATAATACGATTCAACATCTTATTAATAAAGGCTCTAACTAGGTAACAAATAGCCTTTTAGAACTTAGTAGGACTCTTTAAGTGTCTAAAAGGTAGTAGTTCTTTTTTTTATTTTTATGAATTTCAGTCACATTGTTTTACGCTTCCCATGTAAACTGTACTTTTGCTCTTGTTAGCATATATATAGTCCGAAAGCTAACAAGAACTGTTTAAACCTGATATTTATAGCATTGACTGATTGCACATCTCCCCACAAACTCGTCCGTAAAGCTTAATTGTGTCAAGTTAAGCTTTGCATATCGTGAATGAAATCTCTATAATTGTCTATCAACTTTGGTATTTGTATAATTGATTGTTATCATTTGTATTTGTAAAGAAAAGAGGTAAATAAAAAGACGACATAGAGAAAGAATAGAGAGGGAAGTGAGAGTGGAGAGAGGCGCAAGAGAAAAGAAGAGAGGGGAGAGAAAATAACTACGAAATCTTACTTCTTTCAAACTATAGTGATGTATATTATAAAAATAAATACATATCACCTATTTATCCTATTACATAATTTTCTTTATTAATCTGGCATGATTCTATTCGGGTTGGGGCTAGGAAACGGGTCATAGATGACGCAGGTTATCTTTAGGGTTTTAGGACCATTGTCTTCTACACGAACCTAAATTCTCTCATCATCACTAACTCACTTAACCATGACTGCTCAATCTCAAGAAGAAATCCTAGCCGCTCATCTCGAACAACAGAAGATTGAAGTAATTCTCTTCCTCTCGCAACTAGATATAAAGCTCTGAAATGTTTGATTTTGAAGTTCTATAGAAATTTGATTTAATTTTATAGTTTGATTGTATCTACTGTGATTTTTGTATTGTTTGAATTTTTTTTTTGATTTTGCTGATCTGATTTTCTGATCTTGTTGATGTTCATTGTTATTTCTTCTTCTTGAGATGAGTTGGGATCTACAAAAAAAAATATAGAATGAGCACAAAAAATTTGATGATTCACTTTGTAGATGATCTTTTGTTAGAAAAGTTTGAATCTTTTAAGGCTGTTGTTAATAGAAATAGCTAGTTTGCTAGCTTCCACTTTTTTTTTGCTTAATTGGTGACTCAAAACATACTTGGAGGTGAGGATGCTTACTATCGGAGCAACTCCCCTTTTGTTGAGTTTGCTTTGGCAGCTATTAGTTTAGATGAGATGTTTCTTGTGTGTGGAAGAGACTAACTAGTTCGCTCCGAGCCATGATAAACAATCTCTTTTGGGGGAAAGTTTGAGTTTTTTGAGGTGACTAATAGAGTGGCTTCCTGGTGTTTTCCATTGTGATTTGCAAGGTAATTTATAGTTTAGAGACAATGTTTTGCAAGCTCTTCAATTACAACTGGAATCATCCCCTGCCCCTTTCCATCCATCCAGCCTCAACCTTTTCCTTTTCCTTACAATGTCTTTATGACTTGTTTTAGTGGGTTCAGTTGTAATTATTATCTTTTTTTAAGATAGTAAGGCGAATATCAGTTGTAGTTATCATCTGTACAATAGTTGATGTGATTAAATGTTCTAGAGTAGCTAAATTTTGCTATACTTGTTTATTTGAATCCTTACTGTACTTGCATACGAATTAGAAATTTCATGCAAGTTATTAGACTTCCAATGTTGTAGTTGCTGCAATACTTTTAAGCATCTTCTGTTTGTTCTTTCATGAGTGAGTCAAATTGTTGAATCCTTGTTTTCCACTTTTCCATAATTATTAAGTTTGTACCTATGCCAAAGAGAACAACAGAAAAATAAAAAGGTCTTGCAGATTTTATGTGTGGCATCTAAAGACTTCATTGGTTCATTTGTAAATGTTGTAGTAGTGAACTATTGTCATTACTCATTTCTTGGTTTTCAGTGTAAGCTTTGGTCAAGTGAGCACTGGTTTTGGTCTTCATGTATATTCTTTAACATTTTAAACCAAGTATAATCTTCTTATGTAGTCCGAGGAGCCAATTATTGAGGATGAAGAGGATGACGATTTAGATGACGATGATGAAGATGACAAAGATGAAGATGATGTTGAAGGTAAGCATACAAGCATAATTTCATTATTCTGAGCCTGACTTTGCTTCTTGAAGTGTACATTCCTTCTGAATGAAAACAACTAATTGAATCTTTCTTTCATTTCTAATCACGGAGGCATGAATATTACATAGTTTACGTGGTTATGAGAATAATTTGCTTGTACAGTCTATCCACTTGACCTGTTTGATTCGATCAACTTCCTTTTTTGTTCAACTATATTTGTTTCCTTCCTCTTTTCCATTTGGCTCCATTGATACTTGTGATTTTTTCTCCATATATTTGGGTGTTACTTTTGCATGCATAGATTAACCAAGTTGGAAATCTTATTGAACAACTAAGCGTGTTGTAACAAGTCTCAATGGGTTCCAATTCTCCTTGCGTAGGTTTCTGTCTCTTGACATCTCTGTTGTTTTAAATATATGACGAATAGTAAATGCATGTTTTAACTCTCTTTCTGTGGTCCACAATGCCCATAAATACTGGAATTATCAAATTACAAATTGCAGGGGGTAGTGGTAGGTCAAAACAGAGCAGGAGCGAGAAGAAGAGTCGAAAAGCTATGATCAAGCTTGGAATGAAGCCAATCCCCATGGTCAGCCGTGTCACTGTCAAAAAGAGCAAGAATGTTAGTTAATTATGTTATTGCTTTCTTGCTTTTTCTTTTCGATGTTTTCTGTTCTAGTGCTTAGCCTTTCTCCTTACATTCTCTTCCCTTGTTTCAGATTCTATTTGTCATCTCGAAACCAG